ACCCAAACAAATTATGGCTGCTGACTCCCAATATTCTACTTTAATCGGAGGGATTGCCTTAGGGAAAGGAGCACGAGCCTTTCCCTGCGGCAACCTGATTCTGACATCTAGCAATGCAGGAGAGCATTTGCGTACTGAACCATTTGCGTACCTGCATCGCCTGTTTGTGCGTTGCACAAACTTAGCTCCAGCCCTTGGGCTGCGCGTGCTGCCGGGCAGGGGCTGTGCCTGCAGGACAAGACACATTATCCCGGAGCTCCTGGCTACGGCTCGGAACGCGGGACCACCGCGGGGCCAGAGCCGCGTTACCGGCACCGGGAGCCGCAGCCCCAGGCGGGGGGCGCCCCCTCGCAGCACCGCTCCGGAGAGCTGCGGATGCTCCCGCCGCAGGCGCTGCGCTCCCGTCCGTCCCCTGCACACCGGGGCGGCGGCGGCGAGGAGATCGGCCTCCCGGTTGCCATGGGACCGGCGCGCCACCGCCCCCGGGGCCGCCGCTCTGCCGCCGCCTCACCGCTCCGCTCCACGCCGGGCGGCGGCTCCCGGGCACCAGCGGCCGGTCCGGGAGGAGGCTTTCCCGCGGCTTGCCGGGCCCTCGCTGGCGGAAGGGGAGGGAAAGATTCTCGGTGTGCGCGCTAATTGTTGAAGCCTCTTCCCCCTCCTCTCTCCCAAACCGAGTGGCCGCAATTGCCGGAGGAGTTCCCCGGGCCCCCGTGTCCCGCCTTTGTTGTGCCGAGCCCTGCACCGGCGCTGAAAGAACCGTAAATTGTCCGTCAGAGGCGCTGGCAGGTGATGCCCCAGCGGGGCGAGTGCACGGGGGAGGAGGCCAAAGCCAAAGCGCGTCCAGGAGGTGTTAAACCAGCTTCCTCCCCCCATTTAATCCGCATCCCACCCTGCTGTGACTGCTTCCCCGAAACACTGCCTGCCGAGGAAGCAGGACACCCCGGTAGTCAAGGGCGCACGTGTGTAATTAATAAAGTAAATTAAAGGGGTTTAAAAATTAATTCTCCTCATTTAGTTACCAATCTGTTGATGGGGCATGGAAAACCCGCGGGATCGATAGTCGGGAGTCAAAACGAAGTAGGTGAAGGAGGTGCCTGCTGAATGGTAAAAGGTTTACAGCGGAAGTATCTGTATCTCAGGCGATATAAATATATATAAAAGGATATGTATTAAATCTTTGCCTGCTCTAGCGGGGTCTGGATTCCATCAGCGCTATGGAAGCAGTCGCGGTCTTCCTGCTCTGTGGGGCTCCAAACTTTCCCTTCCCCAATACCGCGGGGCTTCAACCTTTGCTCTGCCGCATCCTCCCAACCAAAGGAGCCTCTGGCTCGTACCATAAATATTAATACTCTGCGCTAGTGCGAGGCATAATTATCTTCCCTTAATTGCAAATTCAACCAAAAATTGAGCCTGCTGTCATTCAGGCACCTCTAAATTATTGTAATTAGGGCTTTTTTTATGTCAAGTGAATCCCTGGGCTGAATGTTAGTCCTTGTATGCAGCAGTGCAACATGTAAACCATATGCTGTGCCGGGCTGCTCGGGAAACCCCACCGCCGGGAGAAGCCCGACCCCCCCACGTCCCGGCTCCCGGGAAAGGCTCTGCTTGAACAGAGGTGCTCCGCAGGGGTCCGTGCGGGGCTGGCGAGCCCGGGGACTCCCGCTGCGCCCGGGGACCGGACCGGAGCACGGGGCCCCGCGAGGCAGAGCAGCGGCCAGCGGCGGAGGCTCTCACGCAGCTTCGGTGCCCACTCTTTTGCCACCGGCCCCCCCGAACCCCGCGGCCGCTGACAACCCCTCCTCGGAGAACCACAGCCCCGGGCGAGCGCTGCTCCCTCCCGGGCCGGGCCGGGCCCAGCCGGGCCGCCCGTCGGGGCAGGAATGCCGGGCAGCGGCGGCCGCGCCCCCGGGCGGGGTTTGCCGGGGCTGCTCGGGCCTTTGTTCGGAGCCTTAGGGACACCGCGGCTGCCCTCGGGCCCCGCGGACCCCGGGCTGGGGTGTTCAAGCCAGGAGGGAGAGGCCGGCGAAGTGCCGGCTCCTCAGCTGGGGCTTGGAAAGGGGCCAGCTTCTGGCTCCGGTGCTGGGGCTGACGTCTTCCGGTGATGCCCGAACTCGGGTCTGTTCCCACCATATTTTGGGGGTGAGGGAACGAGCCGATCTCCCACATACGTCCCTTGACTGGCTGGCACTGTGCAGCTGTGCCATATGGGAGGCTAGCAGAGAGCACAGCTCAGAGGTGTGAATGAAAGTGACGTAGTTTCCTCAACATGACCCTGAGAAGTGAGCAGAGAGCTACTCCCTGCGGCCTGGAGCCCCTGCCAAGGAACCAGCACCCAGGCTCTAGGTCCTCCTGTAGGCTCATGAGATAAGCCTTGTCTCCTCCTCAAGACAGGGGTAGCTGAGGGCACTATTCCTGCCAAAGGATGTGCATCCTTTCGGATGAAGCTAGGGTGCATACAGAACAGAATACCAGCTTTGTTGGGCCAGCAAGACAGCAAATAAGAAGGGATTTCAAAGACTGCGCTGAGGCTCTTCTTCCAGAATGGAGGGAGCCTGGGAATCTTTCCCCTGTGAGATATAAACTTCATGCAGTGATTCTCATACAAAATACTTGAGCAGCCTTTATGTCAGATGTCAGAGCATGTCTAGTTGCATGTGGTCTGCTAGTGCTACTGTTTGCAAAGTCTTAAATCTAGTAGAGCTGTCTTCACAGCTGAAAGGGCAAGCATTAGTAATTTGTATGGAAACATGGAATTAAGCTTTCAGAAAACTACTTAAAACCCCCAGGTATATAAATTAGTGCAATTTGCCCCAACACTAAGAATAAGAACCACATGAGCACACTGTGTCAGCCAGAAAGGATCTCCAGAGATGCTGGCTCTGGCTGTGCTCTCACGTTTAGTGGTAAGGCTGTGCAAGGAGTTCTTCCCCTCTTATCTTCAGTTTATTCATGCCTGCCCTTGTGCTGCCTGCTGTGCTGTGCTTGCAGAGCTATTTGTGTGGCCATGAGTGACGCAGACTGAAGAATTGTTATGGCTATTTTTCATTCCCCCTTCCTCCCCAAGGCTGAATTCTACTGGGAAATTGTGCACCTCTCTTCCCTAGGCACATTCCTATGCTGTAGCTTCACGAACACAAGTCACACAGGACTCACCTGCAGCTTCTTATGTCCCATGCCAGGTGATGGAGTGCAGGATAGCTTGAATTATTATCAATGAAAAGTTTATTTCGCATGGTGCTTAGTGTTCTCAGTGGGAGTCTTTCTCCTTTTGAGTAGGAAATTCACACAATAAAATACTATCAAAAGAATAAGTACCTAAAACCAAGCACTCAGCGTTTAGGAAATGACAGGATGAAACTTTTCCCTGCAGGCAGCAGATCAGCACTGCTGGGGGCACAGCATTGACTCTGCCTCTGCTTCAGAGCTCATCTGTCACCTGGGCTTGTCTCCATGACAAATGTTTCTGAGGTGGCCATTTTGTGCTGCTCTTGTATCTGGTCCTCAAAGAGCAACTGAGACCTGATCTGAATGGGATCTGATCTGGGGAATGCTCCTGTTTAAGCTGTTGAGAGCTACTCTGTGAATCTGTGAAGTACTACAGAACATGAAGGTATCACAAGACCCAGCTCCTGGTGTTTCCAGTTCCAAACCTGAGGGCACTAACAGATCTTACTGTCCCTTCCTCAGTGATGCCATAGGAGGCAGTAGCCCCTGCCCTGCCAGCCCCAGGTTGCAGCCAGCCCTTGTTGCTCCCTGATGAGGACCGTTTGAGAGAGCTAATATTTCAGCTTTAAATTTTGTCTTCAAGGTCTTGCATATACAGCTAAGAGAATAATGCCACCTTGCCTCACAGTGATGTAGTGCAGATGATTCAGTACTAATGAAACGAGCTAGCAAGGTGGGAAGCCTGGAGGAAGCCCCACCAAGAAATTACTGCACAGTGAGAGGGGCTAGAGAGCCCCACTGGAACATGGCAACAGCAGATCCCATTTTAAAGGAACCACATGGCAGTGGAGAACTGGATGCTTCTCGTTGTCCTCTTTGTTGTTTGTCTTGAGCAGCTAAACTGCTTGAAAGCTAGAAGGTCCTTGGAAATCACCAGGCACTTTGGCTGTTCTGTATAACTGAAAATAATATTGCACTCCAGTATTTTTCAATGCATAGCCTGTTACTCCCCTCCTCCCAGCATTTTGCTTGCTGAAGGGAAATGTACTGGCAAAGGTGATGCTATTCTGGCCCTATTGAAGTCAGTGGGAGTTTTCTCCTGAATCCAGGACAGTCAGTATTTTCCATGGAGCAAAAAAAAAAAAAAAAAGAAAGAACTGCATTCCTTTGCCTCCTTAAATTCAGCCAAGGTCAGTGTGAGTTTGATGAGCCCTAAGCATTACAGAAAGCTGTTTCCCTGAGCCTGCAGATACTGTCCTTGTTTTAAGTAAACCAAATTGTGTTTTAAATTCCAATTTCAGAAGCAAACACAGATTTGATAATTACCACCTACAAGCAGGAAACTAAGATTGTGTAAATGGGTCAACATGGTGCCTGGGCTTGAGCCAGAGAAGGGTTTTATGTGTGCTACAGAAACCATAGTTTGTTTAGAAGGGGAGTTTTAGATTAAATTTTAGTCCTTTAGGGATAGGTACAGTCTGTGAAGCTCATGCTATCACTAGTTTCAGTCATTCTGCAGAGCAGAATACACCACTGAATATTCAGTGCCTTTTTTCTTTTATATTCAGTGCTTTATATCATCTGATGTGTATTTTATTTGCTTTGTACATTATGTGCAATGGTGTTAATAACATTGCTTGCAATATTAATAATACAGGATTGCTGTGAACTTGTGGTTAACCATGTACATGAAAAGGATTTGGGATGATACTTACACAGCCAGTAACATGCCACCTGTGAATTTACAGGTATTATTTATTAGCAAAGATTAGTGGAAAGCCCCACTGTGTGAATATAATTGCCCTTGCCCTCCATTTGAGCTTTGCCCCCTGACAGCAGCATCCCACCCTAATGGGTGGGCAGCACAGCAGGAGGGATCCTCGAGGTCCGCGTTGGCTGGAGTTGGTCTGACACCATGGAGATGACACACAGGTGACTCTCACCTGCTTGGCAGTGGAGGAAGGATGAGGGTGAGCTTCCAGAGCACTTTCCCTGAAAATACATTTTTGCACTGATAGTGACTCTCTGCTGAGCACCTTCACAGCAATGAAAAGCAGTAAGATGCAGAGATTCTCTTTGCCTAAGATCTTATGTTGTGCTCCCTGCCAGAATGCAGCCCTAGCTAGCTATGCTAGCACATTTTCAACCCAGGCTTTCTTTGGGCAGAAAAAAAAGCAATTTTGGTGAGCAAGCCCTGTGCCCCGCAGCTCAGAAGGGGAAGGCGAGAGAGGGACCGTATCCCATGGAAACTGCAGGGGGCACAGTGTCATTACTAGCGGACCGGGATAATTAGATGCTGTTAACTTGCCTAACAAAAAACTAAGATGGGATATTCAGTGGCAGAAAATCAAGCCCTGGCTTTGATTACTTACCCATATAAAGGTGCTGTGGTGTGATGCTGGGCCGGTGCTTTACCTCGTTGCCAAGAGAGAAGTGATACCCGCTTGAATCACTTTCCCGCTTGCAGTGTCAGTTGCTCAAGGAACTTGGTGGCCCAGGCAACCCGCTGGCCTCACTGTGCGTAGCAGAATGTGGTACAACTGTATGTGTGCTAGCAGTGGGCCTGTAAGCATGGGCCAGCCGGAGCAGACAGACGGCAGAGCCAAGAACACACAGTGCCCTCCCATCAGTCGCCAGAACTGGAGCTGAACTGAGAGGCAGCTCCTTGGGCACCGACGCAGAGTGACAGTGAGGCCTGTCAGGAGTCAGGGACACAGACCTGTCATCCTATAACACAGCATTTGCTCCCGTCCTCATCAAAAGGGACACGATGCAGGGGGATTTGCTACACAGCCAGCACTGAGAATCTGAGGAATAGGTTCACTTTGACTTTTCAAAATGTTAAAAAGCACTGAATATAAAATTATTATTGTTAATAGAATATTTTCTGCTAATACATAATACTATGAAATATATTAGTTTGGAAACTGAACATATTCAATATTCAGTTTTGTTGTATTTTTCTTAGATGCAGCTGGGAGGAGCAGATCCTTCTCACCTGTTCTGGGTCAGCAGGATGAGGCATTTGCTGTTAATGTGGGGACATAGATATGGCCATTCGAGTGGTATCTTCTTGGTTTTTTTTTCTCCTGTAGAAATGCCTTGTAGAGCTGACATCACCAATTCAGCAATCTACGGTGCTGAATAATCATAAACATGTTTGTCCTACTTATTCCCCTGGAGGATTTTTCCACTTAAAATATTTAAAGGCATGTGTACTTGCTGTGGCATAGGTCTGGTTTAGAAATGCTGTCAGATTATACTAATGCTGAAGTTCATAGATTTAATAATGATTTTCCCACAGCTAAGAAACAAAAGGTTTTGCCTGTAGATAAAAGCTCTTTACCAGCTAAACAATGCTATAACTAAGCAAAACCCTTTATTTATAGAAGATGGTCCTGCGATACTGATACATGTTCTTGTGAAGAGACTGTTTTGTGATCTTAGAACTGATAAATTAACTCTAGAAACATTTGTTTCTGAGTGTGTCATCTCTGTGAAGGACAGCTGGTGAATAAGGAATTTGATTCTGCTTGGGCATTTGCTATTTCTATACATGTGATAGAGTTAGATTTTTAAGCCTTTCACCCCTAATATTTGTCTGAAGGCATCAGAAGAAAAGAGATTTTTCTGTTTTTTTTTCCTTCTGTCAATAAAAATGAAAGTTAACAAGAGAAAACCACTATCAATTTTGAGTAACAATGTACTATAATGATTGCTTACATTTGTGTAACGTTTATCCATGGGAATAAGGAAGAAAAGTGAGAGTCACTGGGAAAATGGTCTTTCCAGAGCTGCCATGAAGCACTGTTAATAGTTTAATAGAATTTATTGTAGTATTTATTAAAGTATCAACAAAAATAATAAGAGTTAACTTCCTGCTTTTGTTTTTATTTTGTTCCAGTGTTGTTTGCAGATTATTAGTCAAATAAAATGTCATGATTTATTTACATACTTCACCACAAAGCCAGTTCATTAGTAAAGTGTATTAAATACTATCTGAAAAATAGTGTTTGTAACAGTATAGTGAAATGGAGCATATGTCCTCCTACTCAAAAACCCCCCAAAAGGGGATGTTTCCATGTATCCAGCACTTCTGTTTATGTTTTACAACAGAAGGATACATTTCAGTTGATAGAGGTTTCACCTGTATTTAGGTGACTGTGTTTTTAGATAATAAATGAGTCAAATGGAGAAGAATCTGTCAAGTATTTTTCATAGATGGAGTTACTCAGAGTCCGTTTTCAACTCAGCAGGTTCCTGTGATAACAGGGTGGTGACCAGAGAAGGTACAGGCTGGAGATTCCTGCAGGTGAAGTGTAGCTCAGTGTGTAGGGAAAGATGCGCCTCCCCATGGTGTCTGCCCTCTGACTCGGCGGCCATACCTTGCCCTGGCCAGGCCTGTCCTGCCCTAGGCAGAGCTCTGAAGGGTAGCTTTCTTCCCCTCCCTCCAGTTCTGGCCTCTCAGCACTTCTCTGCTGCTGGGCCCAAGTGCTGTTATTTCTGAGGAGAACTGAAACAAGTAATTCTGTTAAGCTGCCTTCATCCCTTCCAGCGCTTCCCACAGATGCATGTTTTGTGACTGATTCTGAGCTCTGAGTGAAGCTTTGCTGTGAATAGGATATTCAGGTGGTGTCTCATTTAGTACCTATTATCTAGAGGGATCATACTATCACTTTCCCTTGTGCAGGGTGCTTATGAAGCCCCCCTTTTCTATCTGAACTTCTCTTCCTCTGAGAATGAGTAGGAGCATTGTACCTCAAAGCTATCTGTACTTCTCTGTTAAATTTGGATAAAGCTGGCCAGGGAATTTGAGTGATTACTTGGTCATACACATACAGAGACACATGGCGCCTGTGCCTCTTGATTTCCTTAGGAAACGAAGTTAAAAATGACATCCGTATCTTTTCCTAAGATCAAAGGGCCAAACTATTACACCTGTGTTCATGGGGAAATCCTTCCTTTATGACTCCTGTACTTAGTGGCAGGAAGTTGAAATGTAAAAGTTGAAAAAATATGAGCTGTTTTCATGGGAAGCTACAAAACTTATGGGCCTGGCCAGTGTCTGCAAAAGAGCTGGATTGAAAACCAGCTCCAGGGTCCGAAAGGATGTTATCTTCCCAGCCCAACCAAACCATGCAGCTGTTCCTTGGCTCACCCTTTTGGGACTTGCTCTCCAAATTTTTAACACTTTCGTACAACTGTCTGTAAGGAAGATGGGAGATTTGGAGAAGTGGGCACCAGGACTGCACACTGTAGTGGTCTCAGGAGTGAATTGTACTGTGGCAAAATCAATTCTTTTCACTCAATATTTCCATTTGCATCTTATCCCACAAGCTTGTGTTCCGGTGCTTATTTGAATGCACTCTTTGGCTTCCCTCTGGGAAAACGATTTTCAAAGTAGTCTTCTGTCCTTCCAGCATCACCTGCATTTCTGATTTGCATCTGAAACATCCCGGAATGCTGTGACCATTTAGCATTGCTCATAAGAGTAACATGTTCCCTTCCTTACTTTCTGCAGCGCCTGTTTTTAAGTGCCATGTGCAAGCTCTCCTGACCAAGATCTTACAACATTGTGTAGACCATAGATGAATAGATAAAAGGACTAAGAACTGCTCCCAGAAGGTTCACCACAAAAGGGTCCCTTTCAGATATTTGCTCATTAAACTACATCTTACATTTTAATATTCTTCAGTAAGGTGGTTTTAAATCTGTATTATTATCTTCTCGTAAAGTAAGTTTCATTTGCTGTGTGATTCCAAGTCAGACACATGGGAGAGATCCGATGGTACTGTACCAATGCAGCTGCCTTCTGCTTTTACTCAGCTTTTTACTGATGTCAGGCCTAATGGTGGGTACCTTTCCAGTCATTTTACTGTGTTTGAAAATAAGGAGGCACAATTTGGCATTATCTGGTACTGCTCAGGGAACCAGTGCTGTCCAGGCAGCGTTTAGTTTGAGGAGCTTGTGGTGGGCTTGAAACACTGTGGAGAATAGGGCAGAAATGGGGCATGCTCGAGGACAAAGACTGGAAGTCCATGTTCGCTAAATAATGCTCCTGCTCAAAGCGAGGATGGGCTCCAGGGTTCCTAAATGTCACCCTTCTTTGCAATCACCAAATAGCTGAGAAGTTTCCTGGTGAGTTGTGCCTTGTGCTCCTTCCAGTGCTGGTCCATGCAGATGTAACAACCTACTCCTGCTGCCAGCTGCTTTCTTACCTCAAGTGGCAGATGTGTTTGCAGTGGATGTCAGCCCTAATGGTGAGCCCTGTGATTCAGATCAGTCCATGTGAGGGACTGTTTTTTGGGAGGTTTGCCTTCAGTAAAATTTATTCATTTGTCATAGAGGTGGTACAACCATTCTTTAATGATTAAGGGAGCTGAATGATGTTCTGGATGACTGGAGTTTATCCTTGCCTTTGCTACAGGGCTGTACATCTTCCTGGTCAGATTATTTAATCCAAATCTTCTAAAGGAAATCACTGTTTTCATGTTTGTGAAGTAAGACCCTAGACACTCAAAGGTGGAGTTGACATGATGAGAACTGTGCTTTAAATCTCTGAAGTCCTATATAATGTCCAACTATGCCTTTGAAAAATCAGGCTCCTGGAATCTTGTATTACTATTTAATTTTTCCCCATAATCTGTCTCTAGTTCAGCTCCCGGCCTGTAAAATGGGAAAAATAATGGTGTCTCTCACCTAATCTGGAAGGAAAATAATAAGAAATTAGTGAAGCATTTTGCTGCAGTGATAAATGAGTGACTCCTTTTGGATAGTAGAGTTTAAATAACACATAAAGTCCTGGATTCTATGTTGAATAACACAAAGAAAACAAAATTCTAAGCTTCCATTCAGAAAATTAACACTGTCTTCTCTACGCTGAATAATGCAGAGCTCTTGTGGCAGAACAGTGTGCAATTATGTAGTCAGAGATCATATGTGAAAATCCGATAAAGAGGTATGCGTCTGGAGGCAAATTAAAGTCACACAGCTCTCAAGTTCTATTCTTTTCCCAAACCCAGTGTCTTTAATCCACCAATGTGCTAAACACTTTATTTTGAGAAACTTCCTGAAAGATTATTTATCAGAACAACAATATAAGGAACATCATGAGCTGTTTTGTATGTCCATCTCCCCATACTCCCCCTCCCTGCCTGTTGCCATATACATGTCGTAAATCCTCTACATTGTTGCTCTCTAAGGAACTGTGCAACTGGTTCATTGTTCGTGTGTCAGTTTGCATATGCAAATGGCACGATGCCATACATTGCAGCAGCAGAAAAAGCTGTTTCTATAATCAGGAAAACTAGCAATTAATGAGGTGGGAGTAGGAGCAGATATCGCTATGGGCAGGAGCAGCAGGCTTTTGTGCCGCTTCACCACAACTTGGGTCTCTGCTTGGGTTTTTAAACTGTTACGTAGCTGAGTCAGTTCCTGATTGTTGCCTTTCCGGTTCATTCTGCCTTCCGAAGGCTCGGCACTATGTAAATGTACAACCGAAAACTCACCGAGTCTGAAAATGAGGTTTAAGGTGAGGAGACTTGATTTGAAAAACCCTGTGTAACTGAATGGCAAACTTCAAGAAATCTTGTTTCCTCAGCAGATGCGTTGCTCTCCAGGCTGCCTTACAGCTGAAGGTGGGAAAGCAGGCAACAGCAACAGCCAAGGCAAACTTTCACCAGACATGAGCATGTGTAGGAGCTGGGAGGTGCTGCCTGGAGGAATCATGAGCAGGAGATGCTGCCTTTTGGACTTTTGCTCTGCCATACTTTCTGTATATACTTATACATAACCCCTGTATTTATCTACTAACACCCTACCCTGGTATACACTAGCATATTCTACAAATGCTTTTGGACTGTAGCATGGTATTTAAAAGGAAACACAGATGTTAGAGAGAAATTCAGAGAGGAAATGAAAAGAGGAAGAGCATCTGGAGATTTGAGTCTGGGCTGGAGCTCTGGTTGTTGGTTGATTTAGTACTCCTGGGTCTTTGCAATCAGATCTGGACTTTCTGCTTTTGAGTAGGTGCCCTGAAGTATTCCCCAGCATACCTGGCTTTGCTCTGGGCATAAGACTACACACCATATGAGTGTGAGGCTCTGGAGGAAGGACAGACATCTGAATTGCTTTGATGCCACCTCCAATTGCAACATTCACAGCCATGAGCTTAAGATCCCTTTCAGTTCTTACCACCCTTCTGGTAACGCTGGTGTACACAAACAGCCATCTGTGTTTGAAGTTTGGCAAAGGACAGTCACCCAAAGAGAAAGGAGTCTGAGGCTCCTCCGTACCTATGGGTTTTGTGTTCCAGTCACCACTCTGAGATCAGGTAAAGCTGGTAAACCTTCTCTTACAGATTTATTAGGCAGGCTTGTAAGCATCTGCACAACAAACTGTTACACCACCTGTGGTGATGATAAATATTTTATACCCGCAGAATTTGTGACTTAACAAAAGTCTTGGTTACAGTTACCTGCCTGTTTCTGTTGTGCGTGTCTCTGCTGAGTTTGTGCAGGCTGTATCTGTGCATCTGAATAGGCTTGACAGAAAATCCTTGCGTTGTTCAGCTGCTCTCAGGCTCACGAATACAGAGTTTAGAATCAGTTTCATGATGGAAATGCAATGTTATCGTAATTCCCTGGTTTTTGTTTGGGAAGGGTGTTTCCTCAACTTCCCCCCAACCCTGTTCTTGCTCTCTTTCATCCTCTCTTTGTCCTTGGTGAAATGTGGGATTTAATGAATGCAGTGGCTTACATACATAGTCAGTCTCTCTTCTGAGCTACATTTTATTATTTAAATAAACATTTTGTACAGTTTGCACTCTTCTGTTGACTTTGTCAATGTGTAGTCCTGGAAATACTGAGTTGTCCTTTACTATCAGGGATGTAGTTTAAGCCTCCTAATAAGTAATATAGGCATTATCTGTGTTTAATGTAGAAATATCTTCCTTTCCTTGAGCTTTGGTGCTGTATATGATACGCTGTCTAGATCTAGTCAAACTTAAAAACAACATAGAAGACATTTGATGGAGATCAGCCTTAAGGTCAGCTCTTTGTTGTTTTTGGAGTTTGCTGTGACTAGTTCGAAGGAAAGGGTAGATAGAATCAGTGAGATGGGAAGGGGCAGGGCTTTTTTTCCCAGACTTTTTTTTCCAATTTATATTCAAAGTGATCAAAAAGCCTTACTAATGTAAATTGTAAAGGTAGAAATTCCTTTTTTTTGGGGGGGAAGGGGAACATGGAACGGGGGTAGTGTTTTCTTCTCGTTTTTTTCTTTTCTTTTTTTTTTAGAGAGACGTTTTATCCTGCTCTGGGGTATTGACTGTTTTAATCCTCCAAACACACTATTCAAACCTCCTGGAGGTTTCTGCCAATACAGTTAATTCAGGCTCCTAGGACTGCAGCGAGAGAAATGTATGAGAATACATGCAACACTTGTGGAGGCCAAAGGTACTAGAGGGTTCAGGGAGGGGTAGGTCCACTGGGGGCTATTAAACGTAATAGTCCAGATGCAACTGTGGTGTTAGTGGAGATGTGGACTCTAAATGCAAACTCTTTGGTTAGATCAGGAGCTTTTGAAGTATTATGTCTGTGGGTTTGGAGATTTTTTTAGTGTGTGACTGTTTTCTAGGTAGGAAAATTATGTATGAGTGTTACAAATGCTTTTTTTGTTTGTTTCTCAAATATTGAAAAGACAATGTACTCATTATAAAGCTTCCTTTAAACAATGACATATAGCACTGTATAATAGCTTCAGGTTTAGGCAAGCTAGGCAATACTTATTTTTGAGTGACTTGTACTGTTCTTTTTGGAAATCCAGTACAGTTTTACCAATGTGAATAAGATTGAGCCTTACGTGCTTAAAAATTAGCAATGATAAATACATGCAATTTAGATAGCCACAAATTACATGCAGTAACAAAAGCGAACTGAGTATCACTAGCAGGACACATAAAGGAGTGTACATATGGGCTATGGTGAGCGACAGCATTTAGAGGAAAAATGATGAAAAGAAAGAAGAAAAGCAAGCTGCTTATGGAAATAATTTTCCAGCTATCCTGAGTCATAAATAATTTGTGCCAAAATACAAACCACTGAAAGTATTTCTTCACTGCAGATTGGACTGTTCTAGTGCTGGACCAAGCAGCTGAGTTTGAACAACTGTGCATTGGTTGCATATTTTTTGTTAGCTGTTACCCCTTCAGGTGTAATGGCTTATCTATCACCGAGGACAAGTTTGCAGCCTTTAACATGTTACAGAAGATAAAAGAAACTGCACACATACCAAAAAAGTCTTAATTTCTTTATAAAACCAAATGACACCATTGTTGACTCCATGTGAACAAGAACATGTGTTTTTTTTTTATGCCACATTCACTGTCTTTTAAAGATAATACAAGTTTTGATGGTGCCTTTATGTGCCATTGTTCTCTTCATAATGTGAAAAATGCTTTCATGTTTCTGATAGGGAAATTATAATTCGCAATCTTGAAGAGATTGTCACATAAAGGAGATTGCATGTACCGAGCTGCATATGCTGCACAGATGAGGTAATGTCTGTGGTGCACACTTGAGATTAACCTCGTTGAAGCACAGAATACCATTTTAATGATGAATTAAAAACCAAAGGGGAGTCTGTGTGTGTGAACGTATTACTTTGGGCAAAAAGGTGAAAGCCTTCTCTAAGAAGGTTAAATGTGAGAGAAAAACAGTGTGCTGCAGAAATGAACTAAAGAATTAATGCATTGTCAGAGAGAGTTTGGGGAAAAAGAGTGTCTTCCCAAGCTGACATACGACTTAATGAGGGGCTGAAGAAATGCAGTAGAGGTGTAGAGGGGAAATAGATAAAAATAATTCTAGTTTCCTCTTACCATCAGACTTCCAGGTGTTACATGTTTTCTGTGCCTCTTGAGTCCAATAAAAGACTTGTGGGAGTCAATGAAAACATTTTTGTCTCTCTGTTCTATTTTTCCCCAATAGTAGATATTCTGAGAAAAGCCTGAAACACCGTGATAGTCCAAAAGGCATTTCTTTAGGTGATGCAGATTGCAAATTATTTCCTTACAGGACAAGCAGTATAATCCTAGATCATAGTTCAGCTTTTAAAACAGTTTAGATCTATTTTCACAAAGCTAAGGCTGAAAGGAACGTAATTACTGAATGATTTCAAAATCTACTTATTATTGCACGTGATAAACCATGCTGAAACATGAAAAGTGTTTTGAAAAGTGGGGGAAGAGCATGTTTCATAGATTACTGCACTGGAGCTTTAGAAACGTGGCACAGTATTGAATATCTGCCTAATTTTTAGCAATTGCTGAGACTTTGTAGCCTAACGATTGAGATTTTTTACATTTTCCAGATGTTAGGAATTTTTGCCTATGTTCTGCAAAGAAAGTTTTGCTTTAATTATATGCTTTTCTTTGAAACTGAAATCATAAGCTGTTTCACTAAACGTTCCATTTATCATGACAGTCTTAAGAGGGCACCTTCTAAAACAGATCTTGTATAACTGCAGGATTGGAAAGGAAAGCTGAGAGGTAGTTTTGTTAATTGAAGAAGGTTAATATTGTATGGTAAACTTCTTGTGCAGATAATCACAAATCAGAGCAAAACCTCAATTGTCTTCCAATATGCCATTTCTACTAGTTACAGTGAAATACATTATATCAACAGGATGAAGGAGTATATTAATATGAAAGTCCTTAGATTAAATGGTTATAATGATATAATTCTTGATAAGCATGTGGAAGAAACAGCTATAATTAAACAACTGTGTGTAGTGTCAGGAGTTTTATGCCAGCCGGGGGGAATCCTTTTCCCTAGGAAGGCAGCTTGAAATATGAACAGGAGCACGATTCAGGCTGGTGGACTCTAACTCAAGGACTGCTGCTTCAAGCCAATCTGTGACCACCAGTGAAACATGATTTCAGTTAATGCACCTTCCTGCACAGTATCTAGAGAACTAAGTGGAGGGAGGCGTTACTCCTGGGTTTGTTCCATATTACATTTCAGAACACGGGTTAGTTTCCTTGTGTCTCCCAGGCCCAACACCATCAGCAGAGCAGCTGCCATGATGTGTTTCATTTTAGCCGCAGAGTGAAGGCTCCCATACCATTTGCTGTGTGCAGGGGATTTCCCAGACAGAAATCACTACGCTGTTACTGTGTGTAGCATGTGCAATGAGCCTGAAGCTTCTGGGAAGTGTTGGATTTACTGTAAATGTGCAATAAATTTGGCACTTGGAGAGTGTTTTGGGCTTACTGCGAATGTGTGAATCAGCCGTGCAGTCTATTAATGGCAAATCTGAAGCTTCCAGACAGTGTCTGACTTACGGTGTGTGAATGTACAGTTACAATTACAGGTTGGTTCGAGTTGGAAGGGACCTTTGAAGACCATATAGTTCCAACCCCTTTGACATGGGCAAGGGCACCTTCCACTAGACCAGGCTGCTCAAAGCCCCTTCCAACCTGGCCTTGAACACTGCAAGGGATGGGGCAGCCACAGCTTCTCTGGGCAACCTGTGCCAAGTGCCTCACCAGCCTCACAGTAAAGAACTTCTTCCTAATATCTAATCTAAGTGTACCTTCTTTTAGTTTAAAGCCGTTGCCCTTCTCTTATCATAGTCGATCTGGACAAGAACTTCACAAACACATTGCATTTCCAAATTACAAGCAGCTGGGAAAGGGGACATGTCTGGGGGGACATGGGCTATGACACTTCAGTGCAGGTTGTTGCAGGGCAGGTCAGTGCCTTTTGGCAATCGGGAAGTCTTCAGGCTTTGTCTTAGGTTCGTTTTTCCTCAAAGTAACCACTGCGGAGTACTAAACTGTTGCAGAGAGATGAGAGGGCCGTATAAAATCAGAAAAAAAAAAAAGGTGGGTGTCTTTTTCCACTACGGCTTTGCAGTCTCTTCCCATAAGCTGTGTATGAGACAGTGATATAGCGGAGAATGTGACGTTCCCAGAGAGGAAGTGTTTGTGGGTGACAGCTGTGGGTGTGAGTCCAGACTGGTTCTCCTCATGAAAGCAAAGTCTCACCGTTCATGTGCTTTGTCTGTTTTCATATATCTGCTGAGAGTTATTATTTTTCCCCCTATTTTATCTCATTTGGAATCATTTTGCTGCCTACTCTTGAACCTGGAGGCTATTTTTAATTCTAAGAGGATTTCTCTCTTGATGAAGTGATAAC